AAGAGCTAGATTTTGAGCTTGGTGACCTAAATTCAAATCTTTACTATTTAATATTTATGTGATCTTAAGCAAATCACTCAACCTCTCTGTGTCTCAGTTCCTCATTTTGAAAATGAAGGAATTGTCTGGGATGACCTCTAGGGTCCCATCCAGTTCTAAATCTATGATATAAGACCTAAATCTTGTGATCTTATGACCTAACTTTGATTTCAATTCAATACCCTTAGATGTGAATATTCTTTCTTTACTCACCCAAATCTCTTTATGAGTCTGCTACATTGCTCAAGACTTCAAGATGGTTTGTTCCCAGTCTTATGATGACTTTATGTCAAGGTTTCCTTGTACATTTTCATAGTAGCTTTAGGTGATTCAGTTTAAAGATCTCTTCTCTCAACTGTTTTCTTTCCCAGTCTGTCAGTCTTCACAAGATTCAGCTCCTTCAGAATGACATCTCTTCCATAATACAGTAGAGAAAAGGGAAAGAGAAAGCTATGTAGCCTACTTCTCTGTGGTGAACATAAATGCCCCTAATATTTTCCTATTAGAATAAACTTAATTTCCCATGCTGCTCTTAAAATATAGAGAATTTTAGGGCTACAGATTCATAGAATATTAGAGCAGGGAGGTACCTTAGAGTTTAAGAATTCCTTGGCTAGATTAAAGAACACATGCTACAGGAATCCAGAATAGGGAAAGTTCAGTGTAGATTGGCTTGATCAGAGAGAATGGGGACTTTGGCTGGCCTTGATATGTGGGTAGCATTCAGTTACCAGAAGAAGGGGATAACAGTTTGGACAGAGCAAAATAGGGTACACTGAGTTTTGTAGGTGGGAAAACTCAAAGTAGTGAGGAAGGGGAAATGAGAACAGCCTAGCTGGAATGGAGGCTACACATTAGAGGAAGAATGAGGAATATAAAAAAAAAAGGTACAGTGTGTATGGGGGTGTCTGTTGATAAGAGTCTCAATTTCCAGGCAAAAAAATCTAGACTTTCTCTAAAATAGAAATGGGAAATTTCTGTGATCTCTTCATAGCCTCAGTATGAGACACTCCTGTTCTATTGTAATGGGCAGACCACTGAATTTGAATCTAAAAAACCTGGTTTTCATACCAGCTCTAACTACCTACATGTTAAACTCTTTTCTCTGGCCTTCAGTTTCTTTAAAATGAAAGTTTAGGACTAGATGACATTTAAAGTTCTTTCCAGCTCTCAGTTCTAGGATTTTCTCCCAAGGACCACAATCTAGTTTTTACCAAATAGTAACTGAACCACCACCCCAATCTTGATTCTTCTATTCTTTCCTGCAAATTGTGTCCTATTGTGGTGGGGTAAGAGGCAGGCTGGGATTGCCTGAGATATAATTTCTCACTGACTTTGATCAGAACTGGAAAAGGGAACTGTGTGTGTCTGTGTATAGTTATATTTATTATCTATTTGTGTGTTTGAACATGAGGTGTGTGTGTGTGTGTGTGTGTGTGTGTGTGTGTGTGTGTGTGTGAGTGTGTATGTGCATGTGTGTTTGAAGGTGATGCTCTGGCTGATGTTTCCCTAGGCCTTACCTGGATGGTTTGTAAAGACCTCAGGCACTGTTACTTAAAGCCCTGGCTCTGTTACTCCTACTTCTTTCCTCTAGGTAATGGGAAATTCAAAGTCAGCCAAAGGTTGAGAGCCCAGAAAAATTCTCCCTGAAGTAGATGAGATAGAATCAGGGACTGTTGGTCCTTGGACAAGATAGGGTAGACCATGTTTTTTCTGTCCTAATGGGATTCTGTGTTGGACTTGTGGTGGGAATATTTACCAATTTCATAAACCTCTGAGATTTTATCCCCATAGCACGTCATTAATGATAAAGGTGGAGCAACGTCCCTGTTCTATTCATCTTTCCTATGGTTTTCATGTTAATATAGTGAAGTAACTAGAATTCTAGGTCTGACATGGCCACTCACTATAATTTTGGCAGGCCACTGTCCCTCTTAGGGCTTGAGTTTTTATTTTCCTTCAAAAAAGAGGGGATTGGATTAAATGATTTCTCAGGTCCCTTCCTAATTTAGAATCCTATTTCCAATTCCTTCTATGATTCCATGAATCTTGGATTTAGAAGGGACCTTATAGTTATCTAGCCTGCCTCCCTTCTATCTTTATAAGATGTATAAATTCTGTCAAAAAGATTCTTGACAAGTGGTCAGTCTCTTTCTGAATGTCATCAATGACAGGGAACTCAGTGTTTCACAAAGCAATACATTCCATTTTCAAATAACTCAAATTGTTGGAAACTTCTTCCTTAAATTGATGACAAATTTAATTTTCTCTAAATTCCATTTTAATCACACAGAATAAGTCAAAATTTTACTCTATATATCATACTTTCAGATATTTGAAGACATTTATTATGTTTCAACAAAGTTGTATTTCTAGAAGCTGAAAAAACTGCACTCCTTCAACTAATCCTAATGATTTGAAGCCCCATTACCATCCACATTACCCCCTTCTTGTCAATAAACTTACAGCATGGTTTCCAGAATTTGCACTATATTTCAGATG